GTCTCACTCTGTTGCCCATGCTGGATGCAGTGGTGCAATCTCAGCTCACTGCAACCTCTGCCTCCCAGGTTCAAGTGATTCTCCTGCCTCAGCCTATGAGGCCGCCACTATGCCGAGCTACTTTTTCTATTTTTAGTAGAGACGGGATTTCACCATGTTGGCCAGGCTGATCTCAAACCCCTGACCTCAAGTGATCCATCCGCCTTGGCCTCCCAAAGTATGGGGATTACAGGCATAAGCCAACACACCCGGTCTCTTTCTACTTTCTTAACCTTCTGATGTTTCATGTTTCTTTCATTTAATAACAACTAAAAGGCAGAATATGGGAGAGTGGATAGAAAAATCAAACAATTATATTCTGTGTACAAGAAACTCACTTCAGATATAATGACACATGTAGGTTTAAAATAAAAGGAAGAAAACATATATCATGCAAACATTAATCAAAAGAATGAATGGCTATGGAAGTATTAGATAAAGTATATTTCACAGCAAAGAAAATTACCAAGGACAAAGAAGAACATTACAGAATAATAAAACTGTTAATCCATCAAGAAGAAATAGCAATCCTAAATGTATAGGCACTAAATAAGTAAACTACAACTTATATAAATCAAAAACTGAAAAATTGAATTGAGCTACAGGCCAATCTATAATTATAGCTGGGGATTTTAATATTCCTTTCTCAGCAATTTATAGGACTAGATGGAAAATCAACAAGAATATAGAAGAACTCAACACCGTCAGCCAACAGGATATCAGTGATAGTTATATAACATTCCACCTTACATGACTAGAATACATATTTTTTTCCAGCACTTGTGAAATAAATATCAAGATAGATTGTATATAATCTATATAATTTTAGAAGAATGAAATTCACAGAGAATGTGTTCCTGACCACAATGAAATTGAACAAGGTATAAACAACAGACATGTAACAGGAAACTCTCCAGATAATCGGGAAAAAATACATTTATAAACAATCTTTGGATCAAAGAGGCAGTCACAAGGGAAATACAAAATATTGAACTGAGTAAAAATACAATGCTTGAAATTTATGGGGTGCAGCTAAAGCAGTATTTAGTGAGTATCCTATAGTACTAAATGCTTACATTAAAAAGAGAAAAAGCCTCAAATCATTAATATAATCTTCTACTTTAAAAATGTTGAAAATGAAGAACAAACAATACAAAATATGTAGAAAAAAGAGTATAATAAATAGAGCAGAATTCAATGAATTGGAAACAGAAAAACAATATAAAATACTGTAAAACAAGAAGTGGGTTTTGAAGAAAATCAATAAAACTGACAAACCTCTAGAAGGGCTGGCAAAGATAAAAGGAAGAAGATACAAATTACTAAGTCAGGAAAAACAGGGATATCACTACAGACCCTGTAGACAGAAAAAAATACGATAATAAGAGAATACTACAAACATCTCTACAGATATTAATTTGACCAATGAAATGAATCTATTAATTAAGAAGTATAAACTAACCCATATGAAACTGATATTTGAATAGCCCTACAGCCATGAAGAGAATTACATTTATAATGTAAAAACTTCCTTTTAAAATATCACTGGAAAATTCACTAAATGTATAAGAAATAATTAACTTCAATTCTTTACAATTTCTCTCAGAAAACAGATGTGAAAAGAACATTTCCTAGCTTATTCTGTTACCCTGCTAGCAAAAGCTGAAAAATAGCACACAAAGAAGAAAACCATAGTTCAATATCTTTAATGAATATAGATGCAAAAATCTTTTAAAAAACTTAGCAAATAGAATGCAGCTATGTGTATAAAATTATATACAATGACCAAATTGGGTATACTACAGGTTTAAAAGAGAAAAATCATAGGATCATATAAATTGATGAACAAAAATAATTTGACAAAATTCAACATCTACTTATTACCTTAAAAATCTCTGAAAGATAGGAAAAGAGGACAATTTCTTCAACTGATGAAGAATGTCTACAGGAAAACCTATAGCTAACATTCTACTTAATAGTTACAGACTAAATGCTTACCCCTAAAATTGGGAACAAGCAAGGATACTCATTCTCTTTAGTGTTATTCAACATAGTTTGGGAAGTTCTCATCAGAGGAAAGGATATATAGGCATAAAAATGATACAGGTCAGAAAAGAAGAAATAAAACTGTCATTTGTAGATGACATGAGGGTTTAGGTAGAAGATTCCAAGAATCTACCAAAAACTTCTAGAAGTGATAAGTGAGTTCACGAAAGTTGGGGAATACAAGACAAGTTATAAAAAATCCATACTATTTTCATAATAACAATAAATTTGTGGAAGCTGGAATAAACACACAACAGCATTAATAATAGTTCAAAAAATGAAATACTTAGGTATAAATGTAACAAAACCAGTATAGGACTTGATGATGAAAATTACAATATGCTGATAAAAGAAGTCAAAGAAGATCTACATAAATAGATATATTGTGTTTAGGAAATATAAGACTCAATGTAGTGGTGTCAGTTCTCCCCAAATTATGTGCAGGTTTAATAAATCTGAAATCAAAATCTCAGCATAGTATTTTTAGCACATGAACAAGAATATTCTAAATTTATAGGGAGGAGCAAAGAAGTCAGAATAGCTAAAACAATTCTGAAAACAAAGAAAAAAATGAGATGAATCACTTTGCCTAACATTGATTTTTAAAATATATATTTACAATAATTAATACTGTGGTATTAGTGGAAAGATAGATACAAAGATGGAGCAAAATAGTGAATCCACAAATAGATCCACACAAGTGCAGTCATTTGATTTTTGCGCAGGTTCAATTCAATGGAGGAAGGCTTTTTAGTAAATAGTGCTGAGACAATTGGATATTCATAGGCAAAAAAATGAACCCAAAACCAAACCTCATACTTTATATAAAAGTTAGCTCAACATGAATCTTAGCTTTAAATATAAAATCTAAAACCATAAAACTTTTAGAGAGTAATCTAAGACAAAATCTTCGGAGCAAAATTTTTAGAAGAGGTGTTGTGAAGGGTACTTCGACATGACATCAAAAGCATACCACCCCTCAAAAAAATTCAGTAATTGGACCTCGTTAAAATTAAACTTTTGCTCTGTTAAAGATCCAGTTAAAAGGATGAAAAAGCACCCAACACTGG